GGAATGATGGATATGAGAGGTAAAGACTGAAAGGAAGAAAAACACTTTCACTGTACGGACAGTCAAGTGGTGGAGCAGTTGCCCACAGAGGCTTTACAACCTCCATAATACATAATATTCGCTATGATAAGCTGTAAATTAGCTACTGCCATTTAAGAAAAGACGTCTGGATAATACCATGATTAGTTTTCTGAAAACATTCAATGCTCAGTCATAGTCAAAAGGTAAGAAGGAACTATTAGGATCATAACAAAATGGAAAACATTATGTCATTGTTTAGATTCGTGGTGATCCCACACCTCCAATTTTGCATATAATTTTAGATTACATCATCTCAAAGAAGGATAAAGCAGGGTGAAGCATATTGCGGAAAGGATGATCTAAGTATGGAACATTTTCCATACAAAGAAAATTAAGAAGTTTTTTGTTTGGAAAGGATATTACAGAAGACAGATACAAGATGTCTTTGAAAATATGAATGACATAAAGCTGGTTTAGGAAAGATTGTTCACTGTCTCTTAGAGGCATTCTTGCATTAGCAATTATATCAGCCACAATAGATAGGGCAAAACAATTGGTGCTGAGGTCCTGATGTCCGCATTTGCATTTTAGGGAACAGGGGCAACTTACTTCCAATCCGAAGGGCTGAATGCCCATTAGTGGTTAAAGCATATTATGGGAACACATCAGAGCTCTTGGAGGTCATCTTCTGGTTTAGTTTCACCTGAAAGGAAATCAGTTTATTTGCTCTAAGACTGCTGCCCCAAGGGACGCAAAGCGCAGTAAATGCAGGCAATGTGAGACCTGGTTCAAAAGTGTGCACAGACACGTGTAAGGAGAGAAAATCCTCTCAATGCCACTTTAACACACTGTTCTGAGCACAGCTTCCAAGGCATTGGGGTCCTAAGGTGCTCATTGCAATGGTGCATATGTGAATATGTCAGTCTATTCTTGCCCTTTCTCTTACAGTCTTATGGTAGCTCTATCTATGTGTTGCAGCTCGTAATCAGAAAGAAGAGACTGCGTCAAAATGACCTTGGTACATCTGATTACCTAAGAACACTTGTTCTTAGGTAATTTGATTTTATATGAGCACTTGTAATGTAAATGGTTATTATGTCTTGCATATTACTCATTTCGGCACATTTTTATACTAAAATTTTCCATCTCATTTTACATTCTTTAGTTATAGGAAAATGAGGTCAGACGATTTATAAAATTGGGAGAATATTTTAAATCATTTGTAGTCTAATTTTGAGTATTGCTAGTACCTCAATAGGAGATTGCAAAAACTTTGGCAGGGATACACACAACAGATGTGCCTATTGATGCTCTGGTGAAAGTCCTTTTTGATTTGCACGCTTTGGTGGGTATAAAAGTGTGATTTGCACACAACATTGTTTTTTGTTATCTAGTAGCAGGTTTCCACTAACAATTTGCCACACTCCACTGGCACTGTGCATGCATATTCATATGATTTGAGTGGAAGTTATTGTTCAAAATATAGCAACACAGGCACACACAAAAAAGTTAAGTAAAATCTATGTTTTAATAAATACATGTCTGTATAGAAATTATTTAGGGATTGTATCCATCAAATAAAATAGGATCTCTTTTTAAAAAAGAAGGAAATACATTAGAAATTATATGAAGCTCCCTCACCTCTTCTGTTTCATAATTCAACCCCCTACTCCATGTTGCTGTACATGGAGTTTTTGAGGAAGTCTACATCTCTCAGTTTTTATCTGCAGATGGCTAGAATCAGATGCAGAGACGTGGTTTATTTCCACTCTAGCTGGAGAGATAGACATCTGAAGGTACTTTGCATGTGAGAATTTATTAAAAACAGTAGTCACAGCACAGATCATAGAGTCTACAGTAACCTTGTGCATGCTCATGCAGGGCTTCTAAGTATGGTTCTTGGTTTCAGTACTGAACACAAGATTATTTGGTGATATAATTCAGGGAAAAGAAACAGTTCTCATTCTTTGTTAGCCTCTGTTAAGTCCTAGAATTCAGTTTACATAAGAGTTGTACTATTGACATTTCCAGCTGAAGCGTAATCAATTTACAGCAATGGAATTGAAATCTATTCCACATAACTGGCTGTCAACTTTCAATAACTTTACTCGCACTTGGGTAAACCACAGGGATTACACATGGTGTATAGTAAGTAGTTCCTGATTTATACACACCTTTAACACAGCACCAAGATCTTCTCTGTAGGTTTCTATAGGAAGAGCAGTTAGCCAATAGCCAGTTTCCTATACGGAAACTGCGGTTGCTGAATGTAGAATGATTACATTACAAAGTCTTAATATGCGATAGACTGAGTGCAGGTTTGCTTAAAGTGAGTTGCACAGACATACAAATCAAGGATAATATTTGTCCAAATCTTCTATAAGGCAAGGACTACAAAGTTAAAACTAATGTAGCTACATGTTTACAAAATTTCCTGATTATCCCTGTTGATCCAAAACCAGCCTCTAGCATTTTGTGTTATATTTACTTTAAGTGTAGAAACAAATGAAAAGAAAGCACAGGTACTAGTCTTCGCTAAGACCCTCCGGAGAGGATAAAAGACACGAAAATTCATGTTTAAAAGGCAAAGTGAATGACACAGCATTAGCAATAAATTTTTAGGCCATTTGAAAATTAAATTTAAAAAGTTGAACATAACGGCATAAAGCTGGGTTTCTATTTGACAATGATGTTTTAAAAGTGTTAGAAAAGAAATCAGGAAAAATACAGGTTTGAAATGGAGGTAAGTTTTTAAATGAGCACTTTTCAAGTACATTACATCTTGGCAGAAAGATATTTTAAAAAGACTAATATCTTTCAGAATTTTGTTACTGATGTAACTAATGTTATTTTTCAGTAATCAAATATACTGTTTTAAATTAACATAATTTTAAATTAACATAACCTAGAGTATACCATAAGGAAAAAGGAAGTCCATGTCATATTTCAAACACATCTTCAGCATCTTTAAGCAGATGTTTAGTTCATGCACTTGCATAAAATTTTGTGGTATTCTAGTCTAAAACTCTTTAAAAGTAAATCCCTGGAATTTTTTACTTTTTTTTTTTTCTAGAATCAGTATAGCATATTTAGCTGTGAGGCAAATCTTAGCCTACTTGGAGTTACTCAAAAACATCATAAAATATCCATCACTCTCTTGACTAGCATGAAGATTTCACATATAGTTTCCAAAATAAAACAAGTAACATTAGGGAGATTCTGATGTATACAGGAACTGTGTCTAGAAACTTGGTATCTGGACATGACAAACTAATGCAAATTGTCATTAAAAATAAAAAATAAAAGGAATGCAATGATATCATGATGAAAGGCAGAATTTCTGCATCTCAGTAGTCTAGTCAAATTTCTAAATAAACCAGTCATTAAATGAATACAGGAGGACCAGTTTACCTATGTAATTTGAAGTTAAAAGGTCGCTGATGAACTATGTTAAAAAAGAGAGAAAATAACGATTGTGCTATAAAAGTCCTGGGCAGAATATTAATTCAGAGAAAAAATACAAAGAAACAGTCAAGTCCAGCAAAGTTCTGTATTAGGACACTTTTTAAAAAATATATTTCTCAATTTTCCTGAATAAGGTCTAAGAATGTTAAAATGAAAATTACTGGCACACGAACACCAATTATACACAATTATTTATATTAGTCAAAAAAGGAAGACTGAGGAACTTCAAGGAGGCCTAATTAAGCTGGACTTAAAGACAGCACAGTGGCAGATTAAAACTGAAGAAGACACGCTGCAGCACACTGGTGTACAGTGGTGCCCACTGAAGGGGACACTTCCTACCCACCTTGAGACCCCAAAAGCCATAATGACAGCGCAGAAGAGAACAGTCTGGGCACCTCAGCAAAGACCTCTTTTCCAAAATAAAAAAAAAGAGTTACCTGAAAATGGAACAAAAATCCAGACCAGTAAAACTGCGTTGCCTCCCAGAATGGGACAGGTCTTCTGCTTTTACAGCACAGCTCCCAGACTTTTCTGTGCACAACTTTCTGTCTAACAGCAGCACAGACACTTCTCTAGCCTCGTATCTTGACGTATGCAAGAGCTATGCCCCTATACTACTTCTCTCACTATGTAGAGAAGTCAGGGGAGGAAAGAAGAGGAAGGACCTTTTGAAAGGAACGCGCATTCAGGCCGTTCTTGGAGCCACAGGATTTTTACTTCCACTTGAAAGGATGTGTTTGCATCTGCCTATGTATTTTTAATTATCAGCATACAAACAGTAATTTAAAAATTTTAACCTGGTATGCATCATGTAGAGACATAATGTTAAAGCAAGCAGGTTTTATGTAGAAAAATGTTTTGAAAAGAATTCATATACTAGAAATAAGAATTCAAATGTATTCGCACTGTTAAAGTATATGTGTACGCATATGGATGTGTGTCGTTTACCAAGGAATTCAGATGAGTAGACTTCAGGAATCCAGAGATTAAATACTCAAGAGATTACAGTATATGCAGCCTTTCACTTCTAGATCAATGAATGAAATTCAGTGGAAGAAGGCAGCAAAAGAGAGATGTTCATAGGTCTGGGTGACCTAAGCAGATAGAATTACTTGACTATAATAGACAGTGTCAAATCCAAACAAATAAACATATTATTTTCCAGACATGGAAGACAGAGCTACTTTTTAAATCTTTCAGAATAAAGTCCACAGAGAGCTTCTTGTCCAACGAAGCAAGGAAACCTAGCAGTGAGGTGTGAGATTTCCTGCTTCCATTTGTCCTGTAAATAACCAGGGGAAGGACGGTTAGCCCTTTTTTTTTTTTTTTTTTTTT